ATTCATTCATTCATTCATTCATTCATTCATTCATTCATTCATTCATTCATTCATTCATTCCATTCATATGCCTTGACCTTTAACCCTCTTATACTCCAAGTTGCAGGCTTCCATATGCCATGGTCTTTACCAGATCAGCCCAAAGTTATGGACTTCTGCTGTTCATCATGGCATTGGTCAATCAAGGCTTTCACATAATGCTTTTTAGCACCATAGAGAAGACGACGACTACGTTTTCAGCCTTAGTCATACCCATACCTTATGTAACATTCTCTGCTAATGTTAAGAATATTGCTAGTTAGTTATGATATATTTTGGCCAGTATATCACAAGAGCAGCTAAAGCCAGTTTTACCCCAAACATGCCCATGCTATTCTACACAAGCTAGGAGCTCTAATCTAGAGTACCTCACAAGCCAGCATGCTGTTGCGTGCACTCAGAGGTACTATGCTCATATACAGTTTGTTTTTTAAAAATATATAACATAGTAGCCCACAACTACTTCCGTCTTTCAAATCCAACTTTTAATTGCCCAGTTTCTATTTAACAAATCATTACACTTTCAAAAACTCTTCCTAAAGAAAAAAGATGTACATATCCCATAAAACATAAGGATAACCAGAAATACAAATGGGTTCTTTTGATCTTTGCAACAACAAAACCAGTGAAATGTTAAAACTCAAACAGTAGGACTGAACCCGCAGCTCTTTCTAGTGGCCAGAGAAAAAAACCATCTGCCATTTTGTATCACAATGAAGAAAGCTTGGGTTGACACTGAATGGTATTATATTCTGTAGGTAACTTACTTTAGTAAGTAAGTAAAAGTAAAGTAAAATTGACATCCTCTATACTCAGGAGCTTGCAGGTCCTTTCTACGCCTGCTAAAATTCCAAGAAAAGCAGTCTTTCAAATCCTATAAATAGGGAATATACCAACGTGAAAAAAATCTCACCAGCATTAGCTGTGCTGCATCAGACAGAAGGAAACTGGAAAGGGCTGGTAATAAATTAAGAAGGTCAAACTTAGCCCACTTCATAGGGCACACAAGTTACAGAAGTAATGTTTTCATGTTTAAGTGGAGTATTAATCCTCGACCAAAAATGGACTTTCCTACCACTCCACAATGTCATACTGGTATCACTGAATGCTAAAGACAGCAAGGGAAGAATTTTACTACCGGCTGTCGACCTGAAGGTAAAAAAAGCCGCTATTGTCCAACGATAGCATTTTTTTCACAGGTGAGCATGAACAAATGGGAAAGGGGAGATCTAAGATTTCTTCAGCTTAGTGCCCACCAGGCAACATAAGCTTCATCACCAGCAACGTTGGGAGATGGAGGAGGTTGGGGTGAACGTTTTTAACCTTTATGGTTGCTGCATCCAGAAGGGGCAAAGAAACAAACACAAACATTAGCACGTGCAACCATTATCTGTATCCAAGGAACATACTTTGGATGGCTACATTTACAAAACTAACTTCGCTGGTGCGTCCCAGAGAAAAAGATAACGTGACCTTCCACCGTCCTGTAGCTGTTTCTGGGGGAAGATCAAGTCACGCATGGAGAGTAAAAAAAAAGGAGAATCCATCACTGTTTCTGCTGAAGGGCTTCCTTGCGAGCAGCATCCTGCAGGAGTTGGGTGTCCACCTCATCTGCTGGAAGCTGGACGTAGCGGACAACAGAGCCACGAATGAAGCAATTCTTGACCGACAACTGGAGAGAAACGGAGAAGAGCATTGGACGGCAGTGTAAGGATCCGTGTCTAAACTGGACTGGAGAAACTCAGGCTGTTCAGACAGCCGGGTATAATTCAGCTAAAATAAGCAAGAATTATTTTAGCACTGCTGCATTTTGGTACAGTATTGGATAGGCGCTTAGCGTCTCCACCATTTGTTTCCTGGGTTAAATTATTTCTAATTTTGTCCGCCACTGTCAAGGAAACCATTAAAATACCACACCATTAAGAAACTACATCTCCAGGGCGTGGGGGTCAGGAGGTTAGAGGCCCCGGGAGATGTTACTGCTCTGCTGAGTGGTTACTGACTTTGTTCTCAGTGACCATTGTAGATTTGGTATGTTATGTTGATTTTAATGTGTTGTTAGCCGCCAAGGGTCACGTCTATAAGACGGGTGGTCGTGTAAGCTGACTAAATAAAAAAAAAAAATCAACAAATAAGCTGGGACAGCTAATGAGGTGGGACTACTCGATTTCAATAAGGTACCTCAAATTTGCTCCTGCACCAATATTCATGCAGTGGTCATGGAGTTTATATCCTGCCCCTTTAATCTGACACTCAAAATTGCTGATTATAAAGTTAAAAACAGGATAATTAAAATAGATCAAGAAAAGCCACCATTATAGAGACATTCAAAAGTAATATCTATGTTACAGGGCCTCCTTGGTTAAAATGAACAGCAAATAAACATCGTCATCTTAGCATTTATCCATCCTTTCGAAATCCTGCCACGGCCATTAGATGAGCACTCACCATATGAGGATATTTTTCTGGGTCCGTCACGCTAATGTCTGTGAGCTTAATATTCAGGTACTGTGGAATCAGGGAAGAAGGAAAAGTCAGTTCAGCAAACACACAAAGTATTTTGTGTATCCTGAGATGTATCTTCAGGAGATTCAAGGCTACCTATCCAAAACCCTCATTAGCTTTTCACCTCAATGGGGTTCAAATATATCTTTCAACAATCTCATAGAGTTTTTCCATAACCAAGTTAAATAAAGTTACTACTTCTGAGAGGGGGCCAAGTCTAAATCAAAAGGTTGGCATTGGCAACAACATGGAAGTGATTTGCAAACCCATTTTGATTCCTGGACATCTCTCTTCCATCTTTCTGGAAGAGACAGAATTTTTTTTTTTTTTTACACTTCTGTTGTAAATTCTAAAAAATGAACAGCTCTGGCAGGCCACAGCTTTATGAATTTGATGCACACACCTGGGAATGACATTTTTCTAACTATTTTGCAGACTTCAACTAAAGGCAGCTCGAATCCTCTAATAACATGCAGGAGTATAAAATAACTGGTCAGACCTGATAAAATGGCTGCTACGCTAAATGGGAGTAGCAAGGAAGATGTGAGTAAAGAACAGAGTCTATAATGCAGCCCAGAAATGAATTATCTCAAAGGGAGAAAGAAGTCAAATTATGGGATTATCAAGATTTAGGACTTTTATCTTTCACTAGCTCTGCAAGGCAGGTCCTTTAAGGGAACCGATCCAATTCATTAAACAGCTGCCTCTGTGATGTCACAGTGAAAGTGTTGCATTCGGGCAAATTCAGCTGTCCTAAACACCTCTTCTTTTCAGGAATAATATCCGGATGAATCTGGGGAACGACAGCCTTACTCAGTAAAATTCTGCCCATCCTGTCTGGACATCTAGGGAGGGTCTGCTTGTGGTCCCACCATTGCAAAAGATGAGAAAAGTGTGTCCCTGAAACCAGGGTGTCTGTTCTGTGTTCTCCCCCAACCCTTCTTCACTGTAGAATATGTTGTTCCCAGCGATGCCCTCAGCCCCTTCTCATCTAGCATTCTGAGAGGCATGGGAGAAGCCACTTTTTCAGTGGCTTGTGAGAAGGAATTCTGGCCACCACCTAGTTTTACAGCATATTATTGATCTCTTTTTAATGCAGGTGGGGATAGAACAAGTATGTTTGCTGCCCTGTTGTTGTTCAGTCGTTAAGTCGTGTCCGACTCTTCGTGACCCCATGAACCATATTGCGCCAGGCCTTCCTGTCCTTCACTGCCTCCCTGAGTTTGCTCAGTTTCATGCTCATTGCTGCCCTAAGCTACTTCAAAGAAAAAGACAGAATACAAAATAAAGTACACTTAAGGATGACTGTATGTATAGCAGAGGTATAGAAATATTTCAGATGTAGGGATACCAAAGTACAGGTAGTCCTTGTTTAGCAATTGCCTTGTTTAGTGACCATTTGGAATTACAACGGTGATGAAAAAGTAACTTTATTACCAATCCTTGCATTTACGACCTTCGGTCTGTAAAGCAAAGGACAGCGGAAGTAAGATCATAAGCACAGTCAGTTTCACTTAGCAACCGCTTCACTTAATGACCAAGTTGCCAGTCCCAATTGTGGTCGCTAAACGAGGACTACCTGCAGTGCTTTGAAGGACACAAGCAATGCAGACCCACTCACGCAGAATGCAAAAGGTAAAACAAATACATTCTTTAGAAGGGTTGAAAAAAGGCTAGAGTTCATTCATACCTGATCTACAGAGTGTAGGGTCCCACATATGCTGGAAAAAAAGAGGAAAGACAATTCAGAGTCAAGGTGACAACGATTCTTTAAAAACACAACAGAATTTTGTGAATTAAATAAAGATGGTAAGAAAGCTAAAAAAGGTGGGTTTATTAAGAAGAAAGCAGCTAGAAACTGGAAGGCTAGAGTCATAAAGAAACCAAGATTCAGCTGTTAATAAAAACATACCTCAAGTCATTCTTCAATTCGACTACTACGTCCTTCCCTACGAGGGATTTGAAGAAGGAGTAGAAGAGCTGAGGGCAAGGAAAAAATGAACATAAAACAAGCTCTAAGAGCCATTCTGCACTTGGACGCAAAACGTATCTACAGACACACACTTTTTATTACACGAAAGAAAGTAGAGTGTAGTCTTACACTACTAGGAAGTCCAAGAAATACTATAGCAGTGCTGTGCAGAAACTGCGTATGCGCCCAGATATGTACAAACCCTCATTAAAAACCATACAACACACAACACATTAACAGTTAGTAGCCCTTCAACTTGTTATGCATTTTGGCAGGGCTTCTCCACTTCAGCAACTTTAAGACATGTGGACGTGGACTCCCACGCTGGCTGGGGAATTCTGGGAGCTGAAGTCTACACATCTTAAGGTGGCCGAAGTTGAGAAACAGCGGATTGTGACATCAGTTTCTGTAGCAGAAGGACACCCTTCCCTCTGCAGCCGGCGACCGGTTCCCATTTGACTACGCTCCTGGTTTGGATCAGTGAACGACAGGATTAGATTCTTTTTAACTTTTTAATGCCCGTCTGTCTACGTATGTACACCCACGTGCTGCATATGCATGCAGGATACACAACCTGTACGCATACACAACCTGACCTGCATCTTAAAAAAGTAGGTCCTTTTTAAGAGCTTATATTCTAATAAACACGTTCGTTTTTACGGCCTCAGGGAAAAACAAGTCTTTGGCGATTTGACCACCTGCAGCTACTTTGTACGCGTCCTTATTCAGGATCTGGCGCCACGAGCCTCTGTTGTTGTGATCCCAGCCAACTATGCCTAACACAAGTTTACCGGGCTGCAAAATCGGATTCACACGCGATTTCTCCCGCGTGCAACGGGTGACCCACCCAGGCATCTACAAATTAAACGAGGAAACACCCCGGGCCCACCCGCGACAGAAAACGCTATTCCCCCGCACAGAACCACGCGGCGAACACCGCGCGCTCACCATATTCTCCGCTGCGCGCCCCAGAAGCAGAAATTCCGCGTGGATCAAAGCGCGAAACTGGGGACGGGAAGAAAAAAAAAAGAAAGAACTTCCCGGGCTGCGCATGCGTACTGAAAGCGTCGGTCCTAGGGAAGGGGCAAGGCCACGGAAATACTGACTTCAGGCGCAACCGGAAGCGAACTGGAAACTGGAAGCTATTCTTAAAGGAGCCACCACCACATTTTGGGGCGCGCTCTGTGCAAGGAAGAGTTATCCCCGTTACTTTTTAAAAGCTGTTGGATTTGTTGTGCGTGCTGTTGGAAAGAAAATTTCTGCATGTTGTCAGCGTTTTCTTTTCTTTCTCCAGTGTCATGTCTTCAGGTAGCCAAGACATGGCATGCAAAGATTAAATAGAGCCTGTAGCTATTAAACTCATGGCCAATCAATACATTCTTCTTCTTCTTCTTATCATCATCGTCGTCGTCGTCATCATCCAGGATGACAATTAAATAGGACCCCCATTTCCAGCCAGATGAGAGATAGCCAGGAAAACTCAGGGCTGTAAGTTCAACTGGAAAGTCACACGCACAAATATTGTCACCACGAAAAGCAACACAAGTTGTAGAGTTCCAAAGAGAGTTTAAGTCTCTGCGGAGGCAGCTCCATGCTTGGATGAGAGAGGGCCAGGGGTGCAGGCTGGGCTGGGAAGTGAGAAGAAGGCAGCGGGAAGCCATTCTGTATCATTGCCAAGAAAAACTAAGCGGATGTGTCTGTGTAGTCCTGAGGAGCTGAACTCGACACAGAGAAGCCGTTTCCCTTCTTGTCTTTGCTGGGAGCAAAGATAAGGGAAAGCTACATTCTTCAGTAACTGGCTGAATTGGATGGAGAATTTTGGTCCTCTGTGAATCACCCTTCTGGTTATTTATTTATTATTAGATTTATATCCCGCCTTTTGATGTTGGAGAAGACAACCATGGACAGCCAAGAAAACAAACCAATGAATGATAGAACAAATCAACTCAGAGTTCTCACTTCAGCCACAAATGACCAGGCTCAAATTAGCTTTCTCTGGACACATTATGCAAAGACCTTGCCCTTTGGAAAAAGTTCTCATGCTGGGAAAGGTCGAAGGAAAGAAAAGAAGAGGGCAACCAGCAGCCAGGTGGATTCAGTTACAATGGTGATAGGGGCACTGCTGGAAGATCAGGTTAGGGACACATTGTCATGGAGAAGGTCTATCTGTATGGTCGCTAGGAGATGAAAACAACTTGATGGCAGTCAGTCAGTCATGCCTTTATTTGTACAACTCAAACTGGGGTACATATTGTTTCCACCTCCTATTTCCCCACAGCCCTGTGAGATGGGTTGGGCCAAGAGCGAGAGACTGGCCCAAAGTCCCCCAGCTGACTTACAGTCTCTAGTCCAGTTCCTTCACCATTGCACCAAACTGGCTTCCTAAGTATATTTGCACTACAAATCCTGTCATCCCCAGCCATGGCTGAATAGCGTATTTTATGGAGAACAAAATAATTGTTTGGTTTTAATTCATCAAGTAAATACATTCTTTAGTTTTAATTAATGCTTGCACTTTGCACTCAACTCTCCCCCAGAACTGCCATTCATTTTTTCTGGCAGAGAACATAAGAACATAAGCAGGGCCCTGTTGGATTGGACCCCTGGCCCATGTAGTCCAGCAGTCTGTTCTCACAGTGGCCAGCCAAACTGCCCAAGGAAGCCCACTGGTCTCCCCACCCATGGCTTTCAGAAGCAGTCTCGCTGCCATCAAGACGAATAGCCTTGAAGTCCATAAATTGGTCCAGCCCTTTTTTGAAACCCGTCAAGCCAGCATCAACATCTCATGGTAGCAAATTCCAACATTTTATCATGTGCTGTGTAAAAAAAAGATCTCCTTTTCTCTGTCCTGATTCCTCCAACATTCAATTTCATTGGGTGACCTCTGCTGCTAGTGTTTTGGGAAGGAGAAAATAGCTTCACCTTGTCTGCTTTATCCACACCATGTGTAGTTTTGTACACCTCAATCATGTCCCCTCTCATCCACTTCCTTTCTAGAATGAAAAGCCCCAAAGCGGTGTCCCTCAATACAGCAGGCAGAAATTCAGCAGCTGAATTCACTTGTGTGCTGGAGGAACACACGGCAGGCTTCAGTGCAGCCCGCTGGACCGGTAGGCTATGTTGAGTTGTGGTTTATCATTCACTGCAGTCCAAATCTACGTATCAGGGAAGGTCTTGAAAAAGGTGAAGAAGAATGTTAAAGGGGTGACGTGGGTCATCACTGCAGTGTTCTATATCAAAATGTGACCGGGCAGTTCCTCTGGGTGCCGAGCTGTGTCAAATGCCAGCTTTCACCAAGTTTCACGGCCTGAGAGCTCTGACAAGATGGGACCGGTAGCAGGAAGATGGGTGAAGCATCTTTTTTATTCTGGGGAAAGCTGGCATCAGTGAATATTCTCCAAGCCCCTCCACCTGAATCCATTAAAGAGAATCAGGCAAGCTGCAGAGAAAAACACCAGTCTTGTACTTCGTGCCTTCCGAACAGTTCTGTAAACTTTTATAGAAAGCAAAAATGACAAATCGTGTGAACTTGGCCTAACTTTGGAAGGGCACTTCCCGGCCAGAAATAGATGGAGGGTAACACTGCTATTATTATATATATATACTTTATTGATTAGTCAATTGACCATATCAATGCATAGGCCTCAGCCAGAGTAAGATACAATAAAATGAAATAAAGTGAGGTACAGTAAAATAAGGTAAAATAGACTACAGCGAGATAAAATAGATCAGTGTAGTAAGGCAAGATAGAGTAAGAAGACAAAGTAGGATAAAATAGTATAAGATAAAACAGAGATATGTAATAAAGTGAATATTAAAATTTGAAAACCGTGTGTGTTTAGCTGAATTCATTATTCATTATTAAAGCCCACCCCATGCAATTTAGTATCTTAAGACCCTACCAAAAGTGTGATATCATCTTTAAGAAACATGCTTTCCGCAGGTCTTTAAATTAGCAGGACCCAGCAACATTTATACTGTATTTTTTTATTCCAAGCCATGATGCCATTCCAGAAACTCACATTTGGTTTTTAACATAAAGATAGCTACCCTTTCAGGCTCCTATATTGTTCTTTACTACTAACAAATTGTTACTTTTAATCTGGATCGGTGTTTCTCAACCTCAGCAACTTTAAGATGCGTGGACTTCAACGCCCAGAATTGGTTGGGGA